CAAAGTTCTGACCACTTCAATTTTCATTCATTCTAAGTTCTGCAAGAAGAGAATAAGTTACTATGTAGTTAAAGGAAATTTAAAATGTACATGCAATAAATTCTAGCTTCAGGATAGACCATCTAGACCAGTGTTTCTCAACCTTGGCAGCTTGAAGATAGGTGGACTTCAGCTCCAAAATTCCCCCAGCCAGTATGCTGGCTGGGGAATTCTGGGAGCTGAAGTCCACCTATCTTCAAGCTGCCAAGGTTGAGAAACACTGCTCTGGAGGGTCAGCAAACATTTAGTTTTCTGCAAAAGAGCCCTTCTGATAACCAAGGGTGAGGTCTTGTAAGTCTGGTTGGGAAATCTGGGTTTTTGCACATACAGTGCATTAGTGTATTTTTACAAGTGAATCCACAGCTGTACATGTTTATGCAAACTCCTACTGAAACTACACATTGCATTAAGTCTGCAGCTGCGGCTACTAAAAGATGCATTTCCTTGGATATAGAGTCTAGGAGATGAAATTAATTATATAGCTTGCTTGGAATGACTGGATTTTTCTTTCCCAAAGTCCTCAGGGAGCGGACAATCGAGATTGAGACCAAAGATAGGTGTAGAAGTCTACAAAGGTAATGTGATTCTTGTATTCAGTTGGCCCCTAAAAATAACACATCTGTGTCCTAACATGGAGCCCGGTAAGCAAATAGTCATAATCAGGTTCAATTGTTCAGTGTGTAACTTGGCTAATGACATAGTAAATCCACTTCTTCCCTGTAATGTGATATAAACCATTTCTCACCCCTGCAAGCAGTTATCATGAGCTTGGACGCTGTGGGGAGAAATCTGATCTTTTGCATTCCACAGGAGATTTCTCCCATGCTAAACATTGGGAAATTTACCTGCAGGACTGAGATGTGGAATCATTTATTTTTTCTCCAGGAAGGTGCAAGATAAACAGAAAGGTTGATAATCTGAATGGGAAAGTGCTGAGCAGAGGAATTCTAACTGCAGTTGCAGCAAATGGGATCAATTTTACAGGAATGGACCAATTTGCTCTACGGGGATCTGGCCCCACTAAGCTGTTGGTTTAAAGTAGCCCATTTCTGTTATCCAGTGCTTTTCAGTTGCTTGTAAATAAAGTAGAGTACAGAGTTCCAGGGTCTGATCACATTCCAAAAGAAATTGATCTCCAGAGAGTTTCCTTCCTCAGAAGTCGAATGCACACAACATTTTGGCCCATCTTTATAGACATGCCAGCCAGAATATGATTGAAATGACTGTGGTAGTTTTGGGGAAGCTGCTATGGTTCAGATTTTGAGGAATGGGAATTCCAAGAGTATCAGTTCTTGTAGCTATACCTCTTGGCCTGAGACTTCTGCAAAGAGTCACCTTGTGCCCAAAATGTATATGCTGAAATGCTGAATGCACTATGACTTCTGTGGATTGGCACCATTGCTGCCGAAAATTTAATTTTCCTAAGTCCTAGAAAATATACATCTCTTAAACGACTGAGTTACCACTTTTGCTGATATTGTTTCAAATAAAGCCAGTTAATGCTGCTGAGACAGGGGATCTTAATATTACAATGACCAGGCTTGTATTATAGCATCCAGGATACTGGAATAATTACCAAAGGAATGATCCATAATCCAAAACCAGAGAAAGGATAAGAATTTCCAAACTCTATTCAGATCGCCAGTACTCCTAGAAAGAAGTTGAGGTGCAGATGTATCCGTTAATTCCTGGCTGGAATGCTGGTGTGTGTACAATGCAAAGAGATGTGCTTATGTTGCGAACCTGCTCAAGACCATTTAGCTTGTAGAAAAATCCCTGGGATGGTTTTATAGGTGAATTAGAGAATATTACTAGTACAGGTGGAAAGAGGGTGATCTGAACACAGGGATGTGTGTGTGTACATGCATGTGCACAGGTGAACAGTGCACGCTTTGGAGACCTGAAAACAGTAAATTCTAGAGCTCAACTTTTAACTCATTATGGTAATCATTTACATTAAGAAAACAATATGCAACTTTAATAAAGGACATACAGTTGAAATCATGGAAAGTTGTATTGCTTGAAAGCGAAAAGCCCGTTTATATTTGGAACAGTCCCCCTGCAAGTAGCCTCAGCTGGTTCTTGGCCTCCTTCTAAATTGCTTCACCTCTGCTGGTCCTAGACAGTGGTAAATGGCCAGAAGATAGAACGTAAGACATTGGGAAGCAGAGTCACTAACCAAGTTGAGGATGAAAGAGATGCTGTGTTGGGGAGGCCAACGTTGTAGTAACAAAAATACACCAAAAGTGATGGCAGGAGAAACCAAAACTACCTGTAGGACATAATGAAGCCCACTTTAGAGAGTAAGTATTCTGTAGATTCTTACATTCTTCAAAGGATTGGACCTTTCAAATGAAAGGTCTGGCATCTGTAAGTCTAGAAAGCAAATTAAAGGAAAAAGTTGTGCTGTGGCTATAAAATAAGCTAAAAGAATCTGGGATCTACATTTGTCGGAGACCAGATGGGAAAGGGGAGGTATCCCTAACTATGACGAGTCTGTGATAGCAAACAGTTTCCAGGGTTAGTTATGTTCTACGGCCAAGTTACTGAACAGCTCTACTTATAGGCGTGTGGTGACCTGTTCCTCCTGCCCATCGTTCCATTGGTTCCTAAACATGTCACAAGCATCTCCCCATGAGTCAAAAACATCCTCCGAGGAGTCTATGAGTTTGGAATTTGAGGAACAGATGCTGGAAGCACAGTGAAGGGAGCTGGCGCAAACCACAGGGCATTGGCTCTGTCCTGTATGCCTGATATTTCTACTGTAGTCTACCTCATTGAGGCTAATTTCACTTTTGGAGCAGTTATCTCGTTCTTTTGTCATCTGAGAATATTTAATGTCTTGCCACATGTAATGCGGCTGGATGACCCCATCCGAAATGGTGTACATGGGCTCTTGACTGGGTTCTGCAAGATGACCGTTCATCCTGGAGAAGAGGAGACCCAGCCTCTTGAAGGACTCCTTTTTGGAGCTAGACAGCCTTTGGACTCTGTTCCCATTGCGAACAAAGGAGCGCTTGTTTATCCCGTTGCTTTTCGGTTTTTCATTCACTGTTTCAACGCCAGACATGGTCTTAATGAGCGCGGACACATTGAAGTCTTTCTTTTTGTTGGCAACACCAAAGGAGACACTCTTTGCTTTGGATGTTTCTCCAGTGCACTCCTCAGGGGCATCCTCCTTTTGGGAGACCTCCGTGCTGCTGGTGGAGTAACTTCTTCTCTGAGGTTTCCGGTTACCCAGGAGGTCAAGAACTTCATAGCGGAAACTGGAAATATCTTGTTTTAACTCCTAAGGTGAGAGAAGTGGCAGGAGATGATTGAGACCTTAAGGTAGGGTTCTTCAACCTCAGCAACTTTAAGATGGGTGGACTTCAACTCCCAGAATTCCCCAGCCAGCATGGGGAATTCTGGGAATTGAAGTCCACACCTCTTAAGGTTGCCAAGTTTGAGAGATGCTGCAAGAGATGGAGAGTGGCAGCTGGGTGCTAATTCCACCCCACACTCATGCTTCTAGTGTGACACACCTGTCTTTTAAGGACACTCGGGTGATCTGGGCAAGTGTAACGATTTACCGGGCAACCAAATCTTTCTGCATACATGTGCTTAGCTAAGACTGTATTTTGCTACTACCACCCCACTATAAAGAAATTGTTAAAAAATTAAACACTTAAAGTTCTGCCCACTTTGGCCATTCTGGGAGTTGAAGTCCACCCCTCTTAAAGTTGCTGAGGTTGAGGAACCCTGCTTTAAGGCACTCAGGGTGCGTTGCTTTGAACACGTTTCACAGAAGAGGACCAACGCATTGCAAGAATTGCAAATTATTTAGCACCAGAAAAAGGTTACTAATTCTAGTTCTTTTTTTATATATATAAAGTGGCAGAAAACACTGCTGGGCGGGATAGTTCTACTGAACAGACCCCCGGGAAGCAGCACACAATGGTCCTCAGCTAAACCTTTCCACAAGAAGAACTTTACACTCAAAATGTGCAGACTGGGACATGGGAAGTGCCTTAAACTTCCCCTCTCCCACAAATCAGGTACATAATGGTAATTAAATGTTTGCCCAGAAGCATAAGGAAAGAAATATCCCCAACTTTTTCCCCACCTCATTTCATTGCCTATGTTTTTAGAAGAGCAGAATGGGAACTGGTATAATTTTGCACTAATCTTGATAAATAAAAAATATTTAATAGAAGTGAGATTATTCTTGGATATAGAATGGGTTCACCCGACCCACCAGCCCACCCACCCCAGCCAAAGTCATGCACATTATAATTTAGCGTGTTGTATGAAGCCAGCTAATGGTGATTTATTTAGCAAAAATATAATTAAACAATGGCTTAGCACAATGTGTGAACTATATCAATGTAATGGATAAACCATGACTTAGCTGAGTTCAACTAATTGTGGTTATCAATAAGCATGGTTAAACCCAATTATAAATAATTGGTAAGTGAACCCACTTATAAAATAATATTTTTAGTATTGGCTCAATTGGATAGAGCCCAAGATATTTTATCCAGGAGAAAACATTTGCAGGATAAGGTTTTTTTAAGTGACAGTGTTTCTCATTGGGCCCCCTTATTATAGTCAACTGCTTAATAACAAGAAAAGTGTTCTAGCTGCTAAATTCATGTAAGACAGATGCACAAATGGAGCAGGAACTGACTGTGTTTTTCATTAAGGGTCACAATCTTTTGGAGCTTATCTATTGCAGATGGTGTGAGTGGGGAGAATGAAGGAAGACATTGAAATCAGAGCTGAAAATTTGTAGGGACAACCTGCTCCCTAATACAGCATGCTTAATCTTTGATAGCCTCTTTTCTTTCTTTTTTTCTGACACCCTTGACTCTTATCTCAGCTGCAGGGAAGGGAGCGGAAGTATTTATCCCTGGAATTAGATCAAAGGATGCAAAGAACAATAACATGGAAAGTCGCCCACCCTGGGTCTAAAGTGAGGTGCAGAAATCAATGACATCCCCTTTAGGCTGAAGTACCTCAGCAGCTGCATCAGAACATGGGAGCCTCTAACTCAGTGTTACCTTTAATGATACCACCTATTTTTCCAAGGTGTTTGACAGGATTTTTACTCAACCCCAACCAAAAGACGCCAAACAACTCTCAAGAGTGGGCTTGTCCCCTTTCTCCTAGAACTATAACAACACTTCCCAAATGGAGCTATCCACCTTAAAATTTTGGTCCAAGGACAAAGAATTGCTTAATATGCTAATAAAATATATACGTATATGAAGCTCAGATGTGTGGAAGCTCTTGCTGTTTGCTGTGTTTCTCTGTCTGTCTGTCTGTCTGTCTGTCTGTCTGTCTGTCTGTCTGTCTGTCTGTCTGTCT